GTGTAGGATTTGAAAGGACAACAATCATTCAAATTTATAGTCTAATTTGTCTCATTTATACCCTAGATTTACTCACATAAAACGTATTTCACTTAATTCCTCACTCTGAGGTTTTAGTCCTGAAACACCGTCAACCACTTGAAAGTATTTCACCCACAGGATATGATCTTTTAACACAGACTTCTGTATAAATAGGGCCTACGTGCACGCTCTGAAGGGACAGTCAAGTGAAACAGCACGGAGCAGCTTACAGGCTCCCTTCTATTGGGATATTTTATCTCTGGGATTCTTAGTTTGTGGTTTTAAGTAGTAACGCACTATTTCACATGAAAGATTTGCATTTTTGTATTTCTACCCGAGATGTCCCACATGTGCAGTGTAAGGGCTAAAGAAGCTGCTTAACTTACCACTCTGATGAATTCAAACAGTTCGATCACAGCAGAGTTGAGCAGATTGTACCTAGTTCCATTATCCAACAGAGCATTTATAACTGGTTCAAACAGGTTTCCCTTGGTGATGTAACGGTTATAAAATTCATCTTTTAGGCCAATTATCCTCCTCATAAAGCGAAGAGCACCTATATGAAGAAAGAAATTCAAGAATTTAATAACTGCATGCCAGGGCTCCCATCTGCTTCTCTTGGAAGGAGCTGAAAAAACCCGATGTTACCGAGAGAAAGATGCAGCCCCAAACCCAGAGCACTAAAAAGCACTTTCTGAAAGTTAGAAGAAACATTTGCTGACAGGTAACCTTTCTTTCATTCTTTGACTTTCCTGTGTGCTTGAAAGTGAACAGGGTTCATTCATTTCTTTTTGAAATACGGCAGCAATAAACTTTAACACACGCAACATTAAATTATTAGCTCATTCCTGTGCTTCTCTGCACACCTCCCAGAACCAGTAACTATTCTTTAAGCACCATCGTTGACAAAATTTCATTCACTCTCCACAAGGAGCACTAGATTTATGAGGTTATTAAGAAATGACAGCATTTCCATTCAAATGAGCTAAGGCAGCCGATCACAAACGATCCTTACTGTCATAAAAAACTTGAAAGGATCACTGTGGACTTCAAAAGGTACAATTCTCCTCCCACCATAAACTGGACTGGTCTACATGAACGGACATCTGCTACCTTTTTTTCCAAAATAAATAGGAAATTACCATGAATTTTGAATTTAAATATACTCTTGTACTCATACACATTCCACACAGCATATACAAAGCCTCAAAGGAAATCCCAACAGCTCCATACTCACACAAGGCCAGAAATGTATGTTTTGAATTCATCAAGACCAGTACTCTTCTTAGCAAATCTTTGTTCATAATGTAATTCTTGATGTGATACGTGTGGTGTTCCACACAAAAAGTAAGCAGCTCCAAAATTAAGGCAAGTAGTTGTGCCGTTTGATAATTGTCTACAAGAAAAAATAATGTCTTAAGGTTTTGTTGTTTTTTTTTTTAAATAAAACCACCATACACCACATACACAACAAGTTTCAAAACTCAAGGTCAATTAAAACTTACCAGGACAAATTGTATTACTCTTAGTGGACCCAACTACTGCATCTGGAAATAAAAACAAAAAATCAGAAGCAGGTTTTCAAAGCACTGTAATTATTTAAAAGGTGAGGAGAAACAATCAATTCAATTGCATCAAATCAAAAGTTGCTGTAAGCAAGAATGCATACCAGGTGAGATTTCTATATTCAATTTACATCACAAAGTTTCCAATTCAACTAGGTGAAAATACATAATCCAATACTTAGGAGTATTATTCCTACCTAGACTAAAAGAAAGTGCCTATTCTAAATTTTTCAAATAAGATTATGAGTGCTACAGATATTCCACAAGTTTTATTTTCGTATAAAATGCATAAAACATTTATTTTTTGACTTAGCACTTAATATGAGAAGATGAGTAAGAGGAAATAGACCGATATGTATTTGGTAAAAACATTTGAGTTAATCTCTTGAAAGAGTAGTCAGAAAAAGTCTGACTCCAGAGGCTGTAATGATGTTAAATTTCTGCTTGTAAAGCACTACAGACAAACTAGCGAGTGTTGTTTGCATGCACCAGAGAGTTCCAAATTCATTTACTGTTGTCAGGAAAAATAAAAACAAAAGAAACAAGATAAAGGGGTTCCAAGGTGTATTTGTATCTTTCAGCATTTCTGTACTACAACCAGGTGAAAACTAGTCTTCAGAGTTAACACCCTGAGCACACCCTATGCCTGGAACCATGCAACCACTGATGAATGTCACAGTATTTTTGTAAACTTTTAGAAAAAAGTAACTATGAAAGACACTGTCTGCTTTACAGCAGATACTCTTTAAAAGCATACTAGTAAAACTAGTGTACAATTTACAACAGACAGCAGGCTTCCCCTGTTACCAGGACTGTAAATCACTTGAAAACATTACAAGATTTAAGGCAACGGGAAAAAAAAAGAATAAAAAAAGTAACATTACCTTTTTCACATTTATCTTCTGATGTATTAGCCAGAAGCGGTGCAGTAAGAACATGCATACAATGGTTGTAGAAGAAATTGAGAAATTCGCTTTTTTCCGTTTTCTAAAACAAAGACAACTTTATTAAATACTCGTATCTGTATACTTCCTTTTAATAAGTAAGAGTAGCAACATAAAAGACAGCCTGCCAATAATTCTATCAACTCCCTCAGGTCTGCCTGTATCTTTTTGGTTGGTCCTGCAACATTATCTTCACTCAAATATGATACATTTCTTTATTTGGGGAAAAAACACTGAGACACATCAAAGCAACCTAGCTATCACCAAAAAATGCCCACCGTGGATGCAAACATGCAATTTCACTGAAGCACAGGACTGCTTAGTTTAATAAACACTTCCACAATATCAGATACACACACCTTTTATTGTCAAAAGTTAAGGGAAATTTTAGCTTATTTTTTAGCTTGTTTAAATTCAGTATCAGACCATACTGAACATCAGACATCACTGTCAAAAAAGAATTAAAATACCTTTTTTTTAATCCTCCAACCACAGTAACAGCAATACATACTAGGCTTTTAATTTTGCTGAGACAGTAAAGTGTCTTTACCCCTTTGTATTTTCTTACATTAGCTGTGGCCAACATGTTCTCTGGATCTATCAGAGTACGCAAGAGCCCCATTAACTGAACAGCTCCCCCAAGTTCAGGATCAGTGTCGCAGATCATTTGCTCAATGACCACATTGATGAGGAGGATATCCTGAAAAACAAACCAAAAAATAATTAGAGACACTTTCAATAGTGGAGTTATTTCCCTGGTTTCCATATTAGTTTCGGTTGGGGTTTTTTGTTTTAAATGAAGTGAAACAGAAAAATTGAAAAAGTTGCATTTAGACACTGTCAGGCCCAGCCCTCCTCACCTGAAATCACTGTCAGGCAGAGCTACAATCTTATTACTGTAAGCACTGGAATGGCAACGTGCTCTGACAGTTTTACATCTTAAATCTATTTTTTCCCATGTTTCTAGTATCTACATTTTTTGAGCTAAGTGTATCCCAAATTCTGGAGAGGTTTGTTTTGCTGGGTTTTTTGCTGTTTGCTCCAAAATGAGTGTATTCAATCTCCAAACCACTTTTACTTACGTCATCACTCTGCTGGGCCTCTTGCATTACAAATTCTCGGACCATGGATGGACTAAATTCTACTAGATAAGAAAATATATCTGTAGCAGCAGATCTAACTTGCAGATCGTCCATTCCCTAATAAAAAAAAAAAAAAAAAAAAAAGAGATGAACGTATTAGAGTAAATCAAGTTTGTTATTTATTATCAAGTAAAGCTGCAAAGAAAAGGGAGTTAAGTTCTGAGAACATTTTATCAGAAAAGTTTCTACAAGAGATGCAGTAACACCATTACAGAAAAAAATAGAGCATAATCTTTTCCCCACTATTTCCGTCCTTTAAAAAGAATGCAAGGATTTCTGTGAATTTGATAGCCCTGATTTAGGCAGGAAAAATATGTGCGGTGCTACTTGCTACAATATTTAAGACGTAAATATTCTGTACCTGTTATCCACAGTTTACTGGTTTTGTACAAAAGGACCAACTAAACAAATTCATTTGTACAAAGAGTTCTGTATTCACTTATAGGCAACAAGAATTAATAATTTTCCTTAAAGTAGGCAATTTTCTTTGATAATAGTACAATTTCTAAGCCTAAAATATTAATGTAACAGGAACCATCTGAGACGGGTGTAGCCCTGGGAAAGAATAATGAGATTAGGGTTCATCTAATCACTCAACATCAACATGACTTTTGTTTCCATAACAGTAATGTCCTTTCATAAGTTCACAGGTTGTTACTCCAGAACATAAAACCCCTTGAATTTATAGTTTCTGAGTAACAGCAGCACTTACATACGAATTGCAATGGTCAGGCAGCAACAGCTGCTTCAACCAAAGCAGTGAAAAAAATTTATGTTTTCACATTGCTGATTAAGAGAGATTATCTGCTTTATAGCTCTGAAAAGACAGGATTACATGATCTTTCGGACAGGAACAAGCTAGCAGTTCAAGATTATCTAAAAATACTTCTTTGGCACTGTTCCAACAACAGAAAAAAATAATCAAGCTGCCACATGAAACAGAGTTATCTTTCCATTTTCACACTATGTTGTCAGAAAGACTGTATTTACTACAGACTTGTCCATCACACAAAGCTAAAATAACAACAGCAATAAAGTTAAGTAACTTCTGACAACTGTGGAGATCTTTTGGAGTCTGAATGTTACAATAGATTTCAAATTTCAGCAGGGCAAAGCTGTCCAATCAAAAACTTATACAAAGGTGCTCAGCAGATCTGGAAAACTGGTTAAATGGCTGTGGGGTTTTAAAAATGTTATTAAAATCAGCTTTAAGTTTTCACTTACCATTACGATTTCAAGAGCTGGAAGAATTCCCAACTTTGCCAAAGTTTTGAAAAACGCATCTCTGTTCTGAGGTTGTAACGTCTGAGAAAACGCGCAGAATTCCTTGAAAAAATTAACCTATCGTATAGGAAAAAATAATTTGAGGTGCATTTGATTCAGAAAACTCACTGAAAGTAGCAAACTGTTACAATTCACATCAGAGTTTATGTACTGGCTGGTATGTGCCTTCCTAGAAAATAGCATTATTCTAGTCCTTTCTCCTCCAACCTTCAACAACATCAGCAAAGGAAAGCAGAAGAAAGTAAAACCAAATTTAAGAGGCTGAAATCTGCCTCAAAGTGATACAGTCACCTTGTAGCTATTTTATCACCCCGAGCACATGAAGGATCAGTACTCCTGCCTGGTGTGCCTTTTGTTTGAAAGAACAAAGATGCTTCCCTTGCTGAAAGCAAGTTTTTAACAAGGCAATTGAAGCTGATAAGCATATTCAAGGCTAAATAATATTTGTAATATATCCATTACGGGACTACTGGTAATCCTCAGCCGTAGGACTTAAAGGATTTTTTTGAATGAGTAAAGTACAGTGAAAAAAGCAGTGTTTATAGGACAAATATAAGTGATATGGTATGTTGAAGAGTACTTGGTAGGAAGTCTACCTGTAAGTCTAGGATGTCAGCTTAGTACTTTCTCAACAGTAAAATAATTATTTAGAACAAGTAAATCGGAGCTTACATCACAAGAAATATTTTTCTACCGAGTACATAAACAAAGACTGAGCTACATAAGAAATTATTCTGTGATTACAGAAATACCTCAATGACTGCAGAACTAGCAGAACAGTTCCAATATTTCCACTTAATCTCTGTAGTTTAAAGCATTCAAAGAACTACCAAGACCACTGACTCACCAATTCACATCGTTTGTCATCATCTGTAGCTTCATCTGTTAATTGTGCAAAAACTTCAGACAAAAATTTCTCATCTTCCTGCGCAACACACAAGAAGGATATAACTTACACAATGCCTCTTAAAAGTTAAAACATCGATCTTTATTGGGTCCCACTCTGTAGAAAGTCAAACTTTAAATTAAGCTTAACTATGATGCTTAATTACAAACAAAACGCCATGCATTAGATTTGGTACATAAGGTTTTTTTTTTTCTTTCTTTCTTTCTTCTCCACACCTACATTTTATCACAAAAAAAGGGAAATGCAAGAGCACGCATTTGGGAGGATCGTTTCCAGCGTATTGTTCCAGCGCTCATTCTGTGCGGCGGAAGCAGGTCCCGGAGACCAGAAGCACAGGTTACACTGAGCACAGGTGGTGATTACTCAAACTGCCTTCTAAACAAACCTGCTGTTTCCTTTCCTTCTCGCCAAACCGCCCCCGGTGGTTTACAGCTCTGCCCTACCCCACACGCTCACTGTAGGATTTGCCACACATCTCCATGCATCAAAATTACAGAAAATGACAGAACAATGTTCCAGGCTCCCCCCCCACGCCTTGCGTGTAACCTTCCGGGGGGTAATCTATATACTTCCACACTACAAACTGCCAAGAGACAATTTTTACCACGCTGCATCTGTGCCATTCGTGCTACACCATGAACATCAGACACGTATCAGTTACCCTATTTCGGATCTGCAGCATTGCAAACATTTTGTCACTCCACCTATGCAAGGGTAACCACATTAATACATGACGAGTTTGCCGCAGCCATGTCCCCATCAACCTCGTCCTCAAAACAAGCTCCTCTGCTTGTAGGAAGTTCAGCTTTTCCAATCTGGAAAACTTTTTTCAGTATTATTTGCTTTGCATATTCAAATCCTCTACTACCAAGAGAGGTTTATTTTTAAGTGTATATAGGACAACATTTCACTTGTTAAGCATTTCAGTTACACCGTTGCTTAAGACTCGAGGTACAAGAAAACCAGGATGAACAACAACATCTCTCAACTGTTTGGGCGCTTCCTGCCCTCTCTGTGCATCAACTTCTCTGCACTCCTTCACATGGAAAACAGCGTTGGCATTCTCTCAAATCAAGTGGCTCTGTTACCTTTTAAATACAATATAAATCTTAAAGCAAACAGTAATATTATGCTGCAGCATTACAGAATTACACATCGCCGTACTGATCCCACTCTACAAACTTTACTTATGTATTGAACAAACATGAACGGAGTATCAGCATTCCAATAAGTATATATCAACATTACATTGCATAACGTAACGGGTGCTTATTTCTCTACTTTTCTGTGTGCTGTTGCTCAAATCTACGTGCTTTATTAGGCTAATGTAATACACAATTTTTACAGCTACAGGAATGCCAGCCAAAGGTTCACACAGTTTTTTTCCTGAAAATTTTAAGGCATGGGGAATGAAGCGCTTTACAAAGAAATGATACCTGGAATCAATATCAGAGAGAGTGTAACATACACAGACTTAGTTTATTCTAAGCTTTGCTGGCTCTAATAGCTTAATTACCTGTTTAAAAAAGTACTCATACCACAATCAAGAACAGATAGGCTAGAAAATCTCCACTACAGAACACTCAGCAACCGAAAGATCTCCTTGTATAAGGCTGCCACACAGCGTAGTGCTGATGTCCGGAAGCACGGGATGGACCTAGGTTTGATTTCTGTGCTCGCTCAGTTTCCCATGGAGCTGCTGCCCCTCATCGACAGCAGCACTGAGATCTACTGCTGCAACGGCACGTAGAAAGGAGCTTTACTGCCGCAGCAAACACAATCTGTTACTCCTATAAACTGCCTTCTAGGGAGCTTTGCCGGTGTATTTAGGGTAACAAGACTTCTAACGTGTTCAACCAAACCCAAAGAAGCTTTAGAGTTCTTGTGCCACAACAAAAAGCTGATTTATAGCGGGGGACTGCAAAACCAGTCCTGAACCTGAGGTCCGTACTACCACATAATTTCCCTCAGGCATGCGATCAGTAACATCTTTTCCATATATACTTTCTTCTTAGTTTGCAATTCTCAAGGCAGGTCAAATGACGTAGGCATCAACATTATTTGTAAATCAACATGCATGTCTCTGTTAGGGTCTTTAAAACAGCTAGAGAAACCTATGTGCCATGTACTCTCTCTACTGTGGCACAGACGGCAGTAACAGAGGAGCAAAGAACTGTCACAGGATTGCAGAACTGTCTTCCAAGAGTACTACAGGTAATAGGAAAAATCACGGCTTTCTGTTAAGGCACAATTAAACATTCAGTACACAAAAACTCGTATGAAAAATAAAGAAGTTTACAGAGTTAAAAAAAAAAAATCTCTAAATGGAAGCAGGAGTGTGGCCTCAGGAGAATGATACCAAATTTATTTTTAGTTTTAGAAAAAGTAATATATGCAAAAGAATAAAAAGGGAAGTATTTATTTAATACAAAGCCATTCATTTGCAAGTGGGATTTACTTTTTAGCTTCTTTCTGCTATTCAACCACAGTAGAAAGAAATCCAAAAGCTTATTCATGCAATTCTGTAGGTTTGATTTTTTTCCAGTTCTCTATCACATTTTTTAGAAATACTCTTTATGGCAATGTTCTCTCTCCAGTTCCTCTCTCCTCCCACAATTTTACTGCTCTCCTCTTCTCCTTGATACATCTTCCTATTTCACAGAGACTATCCACACTCCAAACAAAACTGAGAGGTTTGTGATGTCCTATTCTACACCAATGCACCATTTTTCTAAGGACACGGATCAGAAACGGAATAAAACCGCTTTAGTACCCATTAGTTTGCACGACAAAATACGAACTGGAAACACCCAAGATGTCATGAAGTTCACACACAGCCCTTTACCAAGGCTCCTTCCACCGGCCAGGTTGGTTGTCATGCCTAACTGCTTTTAAAAGCCTGCTTCTGACTACAAAGTATTCAGTCAGGTTTTTAACATAGTAACATGTTGGTTATTCATTATTACTTTTGGATATCAGTATGATATTAAAGAAAAAAAAGAATTAGTTCATACTACAACACGAAGATTTTAAGTTAGGACCGCAAAGTAATAGTAGTATAACAGAAATAGTTCTGCACATGGTCTTTTGAACCACAGATTCAGAATTTGTTATAAAGATGTCACGATGTCCCTGACGTATAACACAAAAAGTTGCTTGTTCCCTGTATATCTATACAAAACCAGCTCAAAATGCGTATGTTGCTTGTAAATCAAGAAGAACCTTTAACTGTTTACAACCCGTTAAAAAAAATTTAGTGTACACACCTGAAATCTACCATTTTTAAAATAAAAAAGTATCAGAAATAAAGGGAAGCATTCAAAACATTATGCAAATGAAAGCATGTATGATTAATTTACACAGTGTTTAAGCTGTATTCAATTTCAAAACTACAGCTAGAGGTATCTATATACAATCCATCTATACCACATTAAAAACCACTTACCTGCAACATACTGACAATCTCAACTTTGTTGAAGAAAATAAAGGAAGTGAGGGTAGAAAGAAAATTCTCTTCAAAAACAGATGGTGTCGGCAAGATGATGTCCTGAATATACTGTACCCTGTAAGTCTGGTGGATTTTTTGCCTGAGTTCAGAGTCTGTTATAGGAATAACCTCCTTAAATTTTGCTGTTTTGGTCAAGAACTCCCTGTGCCGTTTTGGCTGAGCCAAAGAAGGATCATACTCGAGGCATCCAACAACATCCATAATACACTCATCAGAAAACATCACCTCAAACAGAGTTGCTTTGTTGAGAAACAAAATTCCTCTAATAATTTCATACAAATGATGTAAGCCTTCGGTGTTCTCTAAATTTTCGCAGACTTGGAAAAGCTGTAATAGTTTTTTAATATAGCCTTCATTCTCCAAGGCCAGCGCTAGCTTTTCTCTGCGGATGGGTGAGGAGAGAACAGAGGTAACTAGGTCAGCAATCTCTTCAAGTTTGTTGAGTTCACAAGTAGGAAGGTCGATCAAAGGACTAGTTTCAGGCATTTCTTCCATGTGTTCCTCTTCTGACTCAATAAGGTCCTGCGTGACTTCCACCGAGGGATCCTTACCTTGAACCTAAGGAGAGAGCACGCACCATTACTGTCTCATCCCAAAACATATATAAAAATTATCAAGTCAATAACTGAAGTAATGTGTGCGTAAGCACTTTTATACCTTCAGCTGCACGGAAAATGGCTAGCCATGCAGAGGAGTGAGTTTGCTGCCTCTGAACTCTAGTCACTATCATTATCCTCATTAGAACATTTGTCAAAAAATCAAACCAAACCCTAACAGCATCTGTGTAGTCAAGAAGTCTGAAACACTTTGGAGACAAGCGCAAAATATAAAGAGAAGAGAGGAGCAATACAAAACCTTCTTTGAAGCGTCTCAAACAGAAGGGTACAAAGCCTTAAACTCGTAATAAGAGCCCACAGCTATACCAACATTAAGTGAAACATAACAAAAAGACCAAGAACAAAGGCAGGAAAACGTCACAAATACCAAAGCTGAACAAGAAAAGAGGGAAGCAATTGCGTCCCACTCTGCGCTTTCCTTCCGCTTTGTCTGCCCCTCTAGCTCCTTTCCCTGGCCTTCTCGTACATCCTATGCTTGGTTGCTCCCACTGATCCAGTTCTAGAATTCATGACCTCCTACTGTTAAACTCACAGTACAGTCAGGTATGCAGGAGCCTCAAGAACAGAGCAGGAAGAGTTTTGGAGTCTGAAGAAAGAGCCCAAGACTACTGGTTCACGTTGTCTGATCACATGAAGACCTCCCTCCTAGACCAGTCATCAGCTCAGTCCCAATTTAAAACCAATTTAAAAGCTGGACTATTTAATAGACACATATACTTGCGGTTACTAGGATCGGTTCCTTTCAATAACAGTATTTCAGAACTGGCTGAGAAGACATTACATCCCAAACCAGAAGATTAAGAACCCATCAAACTGCCTGGTATATTGAAAGGAAACTGCTAGGAAATCTGAGCTCTATGTTTCTTTAGTTAACAGCTTTACATTGCATCATTTCAAAATCTGATAGCTTATGATAAATTCCAACATGAAAGCCTGGGTTTCTTTTAAGTACACATAGGTGCAACTCCATTGACTTGTTACTTCCAGAGTTGAAAGTATAAAATCTAAACTGTTCTGTGATAAAACAATGAAGATTAAAATATCCATAAGACACAGATAGTCAGTAAGACTTAGGTCTTGATGAAAAAAACATCGCTGAGATTTTTGAACTCATACAGCAATGCCACCTCTTTGTCTCTCACAGTGAATTATCTAGCTCCTTATGCATTACAAACACATTTTCAGCTCCACCACACTCTAACAAGCCAGCTTCCCAAGGCTGCCTGGGAGAAGGACAATTAAAACATCTGGCATTCCCCTTTCCAATAAAAAAAACCCAAACAAAAGAGACCCTCAAGCACCTGAGTTTCATCATTACATTGATTTTTTTTCAAAAGCATGGAATTCAATTATGAAAGCAAAAAGTGTTCTAAAATAGTGGCAACTTAAGACGTTGCCCAGAAAAACCACAGGAAATAATGAGCAATACATATTTATGTTAGAAGTAGGTTTAAAAATTACAGCACAAATACATGAAGTTGCAGGAGACACTAAAACATCTGGAAGAAAGAGAATATTTAAAGTTAACTGTACCTGGCAGATTTTTTCCCAAATTTCATCACAGCCAGCTTTTTCTTGAAAACTCAGTGCTAAATCATAGTTTTCTGCTTCTGACCAAACAATCAGGGTGTCCTGTTTAAGACAAAAAAAATAAATAAATACTACCTCTGAAAGAGGTCTACGCTATATATTAATCTGTATTCCATTAAGTCCTATGCCTAAAGAAGCAATAATTATAATTAATGTTACACTTGTCAAAAAAAGAACACAAGCCACTAAAATATTACATTACCTGTTCTGCCACAAAGGACATAATCTTTCTTTTTTGCTACTTAATGACCACTACCATACATATTATACATTTAAATATACTTTTTTTTTTTGGTATCCAAAACAGTTATAATGGCATTTTTCTGCAACATACTTCTGAGCCAACAGTCTTGAAAAGGGAACATGCACATATTGGAGATTAAGAAAATCTGCAATACAACAATTTTTTTCATGTTTAAGAAAGTATAAACAAAAATACAAGATTACAGTGTTTCCTCCTCAGAAAGAGTTTAATGCAGCCATAGCCATGTGTGAAATAATGCCTCACTAACAAACCTAAAAGATTTTTTTCTGAATTCAAAGACAAAATCTGAATAACACAAAACTTGCAAGTCACCAACATCTTGCCAACAGGTATTTTCATTTCGGCAAGTTGTTTTTTTCCTCCATTACTATTCCCCATCAATTCCATCTGTGCACTTGCACAGTGAATCCGGATGATCTACTGGAATTTCTGAATAGACTAAAAAGAGGCTTTTTATGAGGTTTTATTAGGACATTTGCTGCTGTACTGTAAGGAACGTAAGCCTCTGCTTCAATATTCAAATATATAGTTTAGCATCCTACAGGAAACTCATCTTCATGTTAAAACGTTCAAACTGAACAGCGCTCTGCTAACTTTGCAGTACATTTGATGAGCTCCACCAAAACGCTTCAACATTCTGCCAAGTTTGTTGACTTCCTGAACTATTACCACACTTTAAAAAAAAAAAAAAAAAAGAAAAAAAGCACCAGCAAACCCTTGCTTAATAATCAATAAGGTAATTTACTTCCCACATTCACAGAGATCAATATTCACCACACAAATCATCAAGACTTTTAAGTCTTTTGCATCACTTTTATTGTAAACAAAATATTGAAAGTGATACCTTCGAGCTTAGCAACCAAACCCAAACAAATATCTGACTGGCTTACAACAGCTACCTGATATACTTGAGGAAACTTCAGGGGCAACAAGAAACAGGCTCTGTCATTCCTCCTTCACTTCTTTACCCCCAAAGTACTTTTTGGTTCCCTTTATGCACCAAACGACAGGAAACGATGAAGCTGATTATCATCTATAAGGTGTTCTCTATGCTAAAAGGCCAATCCATGACATGGTGTATCATACAACCACTGCTCAGTCACCATCCTTCACGTATCCGCCAAAGACAGAGGGACAAAACCATAATTACTACCAAATGATCATTGCCACTCTTGAACCTACTGTCTGAATCACCACTCCTTAATCCTTTTTGATCAAAATCAGGTTAGTTTAGATGGTTTAAACAGACCTTTGTTAACACAGTTATCTGGGCTTAAATAGGTCAGAGAGCTCTCACAAGTATTTCCACTGGCAGATGTGAGGGGACTAATATTTGGGACAGGACTACTGACCCAGCTGGCATGGGACAGTAGGTAAACTTCCATCAGCACAGCTATCTGAAAAATCTCCGCAAACACAACTTACCAGCTGCTACAATATCACATGAATGAAAATCAGCATCGCTAATATGGCATTAATTCTTCAGTTCTTTTCTACAGTAATCTTAATCTCTCAACATCCATATGTAGTTGCATTGTTTGAGGGGTTTGTCTTTTTTTTTTTAAAGAAAAAAGCAAAGTTTAGCATAACGTCTTTTTCTTACAGCAAAGCTGTTGACAAATGCCTACCAATAGATCAGCTTCCTTCTCCCAAAACGTAACCACAGGCCACACTAAAACCAACAGCATTTGCACAAGCTCAAGTCGTTTCTTTTTTTTTTTTCTTTCTCATTTTTACAAAGTTTTCCCATTCTGGAAAGAACTGAGCTCATTGCGCTATGGTTTTAATGCTGTTCACAAGAGTTCTTTGCTTATACTATTATACTATACTTATTACACTTGCACTTTTGTCTTACAATCACAAATATTAATAGGTAGCCCCCCTGCTTTGGGGCTCTGATTCACGTGCGCAAATGGTACAGCTTCATATAGCTGACAGGGTTTTTGCTTACAGCTGTCCACCCTCATCTCCGGCTCACGGACAGCTGAATCTCTACGTTTACAGTGTGCCATTTTAGAGTGAGCACTTGAACTGGGCTCCAAGGAACAAATTACAGCGGTCAGTTGTGGGAACTGAAAAGTTTGGTCAGCTCCTTAATCAGGTTCCCATTTAGAGGTCAATCAAAAAAATAATTCTTCAGGACAATTTTATGGCTGTTACAGAACTCAAAATCTGAAATGTTTATCTTAAAATGTTCTGTGAAATTACTGATGCTCTGACACTCGAAATCAATACGCTTCCAGGTGAGCTGAGACTCAGAGGTGCCTCAATGAAAAAAGATGGACACGAAGTAGTCCTGTTCATAGCCCAGGATCATTCGAGTAAGAGATGCAGTGCAGGAACTCAAATGACTGCATGCATCCATAGCGATTTTTGCGTGAATTCCTGAGTTACTGAGCAGTACTCGTTACAATCTGTGCTGCCCACACAAAGCAGAAATTACGTAAGTTTCTCCAAAAATATTTCTGAAAGACTTAAAAGATAGTTTCATCAGAAAATAATTGTCCAATACCAATGTAAAATCTACTCATCTGGTGTAGACTTCCTGCATGACCTAAGACAACCCACGAAGACCACAGACAGACAGACGTCGTCAGGCCTAGCTGCTGCAAGAGACTTCCACTCCCGCCTGCTTACATCAGCACCAGCGATGCTGTTCACCCAAGGAGCCCGTGTTCCTTAATTCACTCAAACACAATGCAAGACAAACAAAAGAAGAGATTAACTCAGAACAATTAAACTAAGAGTAGTTCAAACCCTTCACTGGTGCCGGTTTGCGCAATGTTTTCTACCCCACCTCTCCTCACTCCTGCCCTGGCCCCTCATCCCCCTCTGAGGCCAGCACGAGCATGCTGTACAGTCACCCAGATGGCGGAACAAATGCCGATAAAAATTAATCCGGCAAAAAGAGGTATTTCAACTGAATCAGTTCCTACATCTGCTGGCATGAAAGAGTGAAGAAGCCCTCTGGCAACGGCTCGGGGTGGCTTTAACAGCACCCCTGCAAATGTGTTAAATCCCAGCCTGAAGTAACTCTGATTTTGCCTGAAGCAAATTGCTCCGTTGTCACATGACTGATGGCAACTCTATGCAAAAGACGGTATTTGCACACATTCCTCAGCTCAGATCTGAAAATGGATAGAGCGCACCTAAAGGAGAGTTAACATCAGAAAGTGGTGTTCACAGTAAGGATTTCTGTAGCATTTCGAAGTCTTACAGCCACACAACTGAAAATTACTGCTGGAGGAGGCGGAAGAACAAAGCACACGAACAGATCCATCTGATTTCTTGCTGAAGACATGCTCTTCTGCCAGTTTTGCAAGGGAACAGTAACCTCAAGAAGAGGGCGGAACAACAAAAGGGTGTGGTAACAACTTTTTTTTAAACTGCTCCTGCTAGAGCCTCCAGAACGCACCAGATCCTGCCCTTTGGCAAATCTGGAGTGTCTAGTACGGGTATGTAATTCTCAAAGCCCATGCCTCAAAATCCAGAGGGATCTAAAGCCTGGCACCTACGTCCAATCCGAGCCCTATTTCTCTTGAGAAAGAGGTCGTGATTATAGTATGCCTAACACATAGACAGAATTGAATTCTGCACGAAAGCTGGTGACCACAAACACGATTTGAGAAGGCAGATAACAGGCCTGCCCTGTTTATGGTTAGTCAATAGTGATAGTACTACTAAGCACAAACAGTGTAATATTGAGAATCGCAGATTGATGCACAGCAGCTAAAAACCAGTTGGTTTTCTTTTTTCACAGAATGTTGTTATGCAAATCACAATTTAAGTGATAACTATCCTCTAAGTCCATTCAAGTAATTTACATGAAGACAGATGTGTAGGCAGGGCACGTTTCCCTTCCATCAAGCTGCACATCTCGCAGCTCTACCCAAACTCAAGACGATCAGCACTGTAATGAAAATCTGCAACTGAAAGAGAAGAGAGCGCTCTCCTCCATGCTGCCATTCACCTACAAGGGCAGATCACTGAAGCCTCCAAGTCTTCAGCCCACCTCCATAACAGACTTCAACATTCAAGGAGGGACGCTGAGGAAAGACCACCTCTCCATCTCTGGATAACCAAAACATTTTTCTGAAATGTTTCCACCTTTTTTAAAAAGGCTCTGCTCCCGAGACACCCAGGTTTGAATATTACGGTCTTTTGGTGATGAGACTGAAATCTCACAAACTGAGAAAAAAGCATGGGAACGCTACATTAAGGTCTGCTTTTTGCTACTCAGAAGGAAGGCACGTAAAACTTGAGGACAAAGCTCTGTCAACTAAAAGCTGTATGGGTTCAGAGGATAGACAAACCTAGAAGCTGTCTCTGGAAATAATCAATCATTACTCTTAAAAAACAAAACCCAAAACCAACCCAAAACTACACTTCTTCAAAAGATGAAACAGCGAAGCAAACACTTTCAGCCATGAGGACACAAAAGCGTTAGAATCAGTGATAAGAGCCAATCAAAATAAACCTCAGCCTGAGTTTTTCAAAACTACAGCCTACAAAGACTTCCACAAGAAAAATGACAACAAAAGCCACTTAAGTCACTTGAAATTTTGCTACCAATTAAGATGGCTTTCAAATAATCAGTTGTATGACATTTCAGAAAACAGGCTGCAAAAGGAAGCAGTTTAAAACTTTAGAGCAACATAACCTGCATTTGTATTTCATTATACGTTAGTTTCTTCTACTAAACAGGAAACAGTTCAAGGCTCTTGACTTCCAGAATGCTGCAGAGCTCCATGAAGACCGTCCCTCCTTCCTCAGCGTGGCCTACCCAAGGAAAGCCTACGACCATCATCCACCTGACCAAATCCACTGATGTCTAAGGAGCGAAAAGTAGCAACCACTGTAAACAGAGCCTTCTAAAACGCTGGGCCCGAGACTCTGACTCGCTCCCAAGCTAAAGTCAGCCAACCTGTGCTCAAGACCTAACAAAGTCTCTTCCCTCAAATTCTCATAACGTGTCACCTTTCCATCAAAAAAAAATAAAAATCAAAACAAACAAAATCCTTAAAGATATGGATGAACAAAATTACTGTTTTCTAGTGCTGAAACACTTCTGGACACCATAATGATGAAGAGCAGTATAAATGACTGAACAAAAGGAAGAGAGAATCTACTGCAGAACAAAGGAACAGACAGAAAATAAACAGTAATAACCATTTGAACAACGTAGGCAGAGACACCAAAAATTAATGCAGAAAAAGGAAAAAGCAGTAAAAGGAAAAGAGATTTAGTAAGCTAATTTTTGTAGTGGATTAAATAAAAGCGACCTATTAACATCGCTCCCAACTGGTTTACTACTTTGTTTTGCAGAAGGCTTACCCCCAGGAAACACAACCCTGCAAGTAAGTCTCACCATAGCTAGTCAGTTTACTTAGGATAGAAGTTTTCAAGGCTGAAAACAGCAACAATGAAAGAAGTCCCACAAATTCCTCCACGTTATTTCCAAAAAAAGAACTCAAGAAGTAAATATGCTCTAACAGAGCTGGCCAAAGTTTTGCCTTCCTAATTCGGCAATTATTTTGAACAGCCTTGGATAGAAGACAAAAGTTACACATAAATGATTCTAACTAATTTTCCTGTAATGAGTTCAATATCTATCCAAATTGCATGTATTCTCTTCGAAGCCTAAAGTCCAAAAGGGTTTTTTTAGGAGACCCACATTTTAATTTCCAGAACGTGAAAAATTATAGCACCTACAGGCTTCTAAGCAAGTTTTTCACCTCTCTAAAAAACACCATTGACAATTCCATGTTGCGCTGCTTTGCTTTTTTTTTTTTTTCAAACGCGATTAGTTTGAGCATAAAACAATTCCTCAGCATCAGTAATCAGAAAAAAATAAAGCCTAGCAGAAATACTTGCCTGCTGTTTCTGATATGCAGTATTTGGATTTATCTTCGATTCTAACAGTAGTGAACCTGAAAAAGGCACGAAAAGGCATTTACTGAGTTTAACAAAATAAACATCTCCGCGCGTCTTACAACAACCGCCCATGCGCCAGCCAACATATGCTCAACTTCAACCATATCTTACGGAAAGGCCAGGAGAACCGTCTTCTTGAAACATAATTCCCTAAAATAACCCAGGCAAGTCAAAATCCAACATAAATATCCCTATTACAATATATTTTTCTCTTCTAATTTAGACCAAAATTCTCTGTAGCGCTGTTTTTTCTCCTGAAACCTGGTGTGACAAATACCTTGTTTAAAGGCTGTTCAGCAAACCTATACAAACGTGCCCCAGGTAACACGCTGCCCAGCATAAAAATGTTTTTGCCCACAGGAGCCACGTGGGCCATTTGCTTTTATTTCCTTCAACTGTCCTTCAGAAGTGAATCATCTAGATACTACAAACCCAGGGACGTTATCTCGTGTATGCAAGTAGTGTATGTATCCTGGCAACAGCTCCAGAGTAATTTATACCAGTCTTAGGTGGTTTATTTAGCACGTTAGCACCTGTCGGCTGACAAAGTGGTGAACGCGTACCCTCCCCCCTCCAAAAGAGACCCTTAAGGTGACTTTAAAGTGAAATAAAACATGAGGAACACCACGCAACTCGAATAAAATCAGTGAATTTCTAGGACAGGAAAAAACCCCAACCAACCGAACAACTTTTTATAGTAGCAAGAAAGGGAGTGAAAGAGCACTTCAAAAGGGAACAAAATTATTCTGAAAGCGAACAAGATGTCGTCACGCGGAACAACTTCATCTCTACTCAGTCAAAAGAGATGCAGCCGGCGAGTGGAACTACAAGGGGGAAAAGTCTAGGGCCACGGTGGTAAACACCGCTCCGGCTTAACTGGGGAAGGAAACTTTAAACGCAGCCGCAAGCTAAAGCAAAGAAAGGGAGAGGAAATAACAATAATCCTCTGGGGTCTTCCCTAATAAACGCGGGG